CGATCTCGGATGATGCACTCTGTGGGACGTCATTATAGTGCGGACTTTTCTGTCCAGAGCGTTCAGTTCGGTCTGAGTCCACCTGAGTATGCCAAAGGTATACATGAGAACAGGCATGATCCAGCCGTTATAAGCGTGTGTCTTATTAACGCCCGACAAAAGACTGTTCAGCATTTTTGTCAAGCGTGCATAAAACACATCGCAAACTGACTGCTTCATACCCGCCTCATCGACACCGATGTTCTGTGACATACCCAGGTATCGGTATGTTTCAGCCTCGGAAAGGGTCCTTATGCTGATGGGCATAGATAAGTCCATGCCCTCAGAGTTAGCAACCCTTCCCCTTTCGACATGGAGGATCGCACACTTATCCGTCCCCAGCTCCATTCCAATAGGATTGCTAAAATCACAAGTGATGTTTAGCAATTCCACAAGATGGGAGCGACTGGAGGCGAATAACTTGAGATCATCCATATAGAAAAGGTGGGTCACCTCCTTTCCGAAGCTGAAATCCCCTCCCGGAACCCTCCAGTAAGGTACTTAGAGGGTTCAGAGAGAGGCAAAACCAGATTGGACTCAAACAATCGCCCTGGAAGATACCCCTTCTTATCCTTATGTGGTTCTCCGCAGGCGTCATCCGCTGGCCTAGATGACAAAGGATCGTACTCCACTGCCCCATACACTACCCGAGGAAGTCTCGAACCGTACAGTCAACCTTGTACAGCTCGAGGACCCTCTTAAGCCATGTATGAGGCACCGAGTCGAATGCCTTTTTGTAGTCTATCCAGGCGGCGGAGAGGTTCCGACGGTTGCGTTTAACCACCTTGCCAATGACCGCGTCAATGAGGAGTGGTTCCTTGGTTCCACGACCACCGCCCCGACATCCATTTTGAGCGCGCGACATCACCTGATTTGAGTTCAGGTGACGAGTGATTCTCGCGCTCAAAATGGATGTTAGTGTCTTGTATATGGTAGGTAGACACGTTATGGGGCGGTACTTGCTCGGGTCTGTGGAATCCCGGTCTTTAGGAACCAAATGAGTGATCCCAGTAGTGAAGAGGCTCGGGAGCGACTTTTGGTTGAGAGCCTCTTGAAACTGTCGGGCGAGCACAGCGTGACACACCACGAACCCCTTCAGCCAGTAGTGATGCAGTCCGTCGAGTCCCGGACTTTTCCAGTTCGGGGCCCTACGGACCGCCTCAGCTACGTCATCCGGCGTTAAGATGACGGGGTCCATGGGCGTAATATTCGCACACTGACTCGCCACAACTTCCGTCCAAGGGCCCTCGCTGTGGTTTACGGGCTCTGACCACAGGCCGCGCCAGAATGCGACAGTGTCGGCCTGTTTCGGTGCTGGGCCCGTTCCACGTACCATCGGTCGCTCCAATAATTCATAGAGCCTCTTCTGATCACTCTGGAAGAGACGATTCTGGTTGAACCGTGTCGACCTCTCGGTATATCGCCGAATCCGCTTCCCCCAAGCAGCGATTATTATTATTATTATTATCCTTATCATAGCAAGCAGACACAAAAACGGACAACTTCCTCATCACTTAAAGAACATATGCAGAATTGGTTACGTGATCATAATATCACCTGTGATGAAAATATGACCAAAAAAGAATTATACCATTTATTAATCAAAATAACAATGTCACCTATGAGATATTTGGTTGACGAATTATTAAAAAGACATGATCATGGAGTGCTCCGGTTACCACCGTATCACTGCGATTTAAACCACTCTATGTACGGAATTTAATAAAACAGCGCGTCATAGATAAAAATGTAACCCAATCCGAAAGAGAAATATTAAGCTTAACCCAAAATGCTATAAAAAGTATAACGTCAAGTGATTAGAAAAAGGAAGTCAACCACATGGATCGCTTGTGTCAAAGAATAGAATAGAATAATTTTTTATTCAATATAGATCACATGTGTAATTCTTATTGAAAGTCATTTTTTTCTTTACCACTGGTTCGAAAAAAACCTCTGTCCTGGGAAAAACCAGCAGGAAACCCAGCGGGACTTTTTTTAAAGCAAATTTTACAATAATTGTTATACAAACTATATAAGTACAAAATTTATTAAAGAAACAGCTTGGAAGCGATCACCTCATTCCCAGGGGTTATTACCAACCATGTATTCATTTATACTATAATAACCCTTTTTATACCGTTTCAACTTAACAAAACATTTAAACTTGCTAATAGAGAGCCTGTACACTTTCCGGGACCTTGTTGTAATAGCGTATACTTTGCCCCAAGAATGAATTACTGACTCTTTGGAGTCGAGAAACTGTTATCACTAGCTTGTGTTTGTTCCTAGTGTTTACACAATGCACATCACTTTTTTTACTAAAACTACCTTTGTTTTTGTGAACATACATTAAATTTTCGTAAATATACTGAGAGGCCAAAGTTAATATATTTATTTCTTTAAATTTATCCTAAGTGACTCTCTCGGTTTTAGGTTGTAAATAGCTCTAATGGCCCTCTTCTGTAAAACAAAAATAGTTTCTGAATCATAAGTTAAAAGTATTGGGAACAAGATAGATTGGGAGAAACAGCATAGCAGAAAAATAGATGACAAAAATTATAGCGTCTAAAAATAAGTTATATATAAAATGAGTTTTATTATTTTTCTATGATTTTTCAAATAAAAATGTATTTTAATTAAAGCCACAGAAGAAAACAAACATTTTTGGGAATATCAAATGACTTAAATCATTTTATTCTATTCAAATGTTGCCATTTAGTATATTCATACTATTTTCGTATACACTTCGTAAGACTACCAACACAACATATTAGTAATAACTGTACTATCAGTAATAATAAAAATAAAAGTGATATGGCTGAGAATAAGTCTCATACAAAGAATCTCCTACAATAATACATTATCTCAATCATAGTACTATGTAACAATTCCATTTAACCGATTCGTTGCGGCACCAATTTTCGACAACTTTTAGCTGTGGCGGCGAACAAATATTTTATGACACGCCGGGCGTGTCAAGCGCCACAGACAATGTGTAAAAGCAATGTTCTTATGCTTTTTTTACTTATGCTTTTTTTATTTGTTTAGACCTAATTAAGTTTATTTGACATCAAACATAAGTTACAAATGGAAGGATACTTGTTTTTAGTGGGTAACTACGTGTTTTTTACGCGTTTTCTTTGAAATTGAGAGAAAGTGACTTTTATATGAAGAGATTACAAACCTTTTGTACTATTTTTTGTTGTTATAAAAAAATCATTTATATAAGTAGGTACAGCTAAATCACCCTGGAAACCTTGGTTTTTATTAAATTAAATTTTCACCTAATAATAACATTTGTAAATATCAAACAATGAAGAACCTTAATTTGAAAATCATTCATTCATATTTACAAATGTTAAATATTATTTAATGTTATACAAATGTAAAAGTAAAGTCGATCTGCAAACGTCTAATTAGTAAGAATAGCAAAACAAGTGTTTTCAAAAGGAAAAAAAACGCCGGCGCTATACGGCGGCAGATTGACAAAAGGCTATTTATTAGCGAACTTTTTTTATGCATGAACGGTTTAGAACTGTTTCAAGCAAAAATAAACCTTATACCATATCACAAGAACACATGGTATATACTTCTTAGGTCTATTCGGCCATATGATAGTAATAAGACGGCAATTCAACTATTTTAAGCAAAATTAAACAATAAGACAAACGCATTGTTTTTTTTAACAGGAGACTTGTTTTCCAGAAATTTATTTACAACTTGAGTTTGTAAGCGATCTCAATAAGTGTATTTGTTACTTATTAGACAATTTTTCCATAACATGATTTAAAACCCACAAAGTAAAAATAGTACCATGTACACGTTAAAAAAAGGTTGTCAACCCCTAAAAATTTCAAATTTTCAAAATATCCAGAAACGAAGCTGCATGCATGAACTGCTCGCAAAATAATGAATATTTTGTTCTGGATAAATTTTCCAAAAAAGCAATTTGAGCGAGTTATAACGATTTTTAAAAAGACACGACTCGCGTGTCATACGCCACACACAAAATTCATCGATGGCACGCCTGGCGTGTCACCCTCACTGAACCTGTTAATGTTATGGCAACACTAGGTAAAATAAAATGTAACTGTTTTTTTACTGGCTTTACGGCTCTGGGTTCTAGCCCTTCTGAGAATGTCACTATGATACAAAGGCCCTGGAGCCATGCCAGAAATATACATTTATAGTATGCAAATATATAATAGAGATACAATAATCTAAAAACTCTCAATTATGTATTATGTATTAAGCTAACATCGAACAACCACAAGAAGCATGACTTTTTCCAAGTGACATAGGACATAACCTAAAAAGGTTCAAATGTAAATATCATTTTTTTGATGCCTTCTCAGAACAAAATTCTTTGACAGAGTTATTAAGGGACTGACGCTTAACATTTTAAGATATTTTTGGTATATAGACGCTACCATTTTTTCTCAACTAATTTTATGTATGAAAGTCTGCCATTGTCCTTTAAGGGAATTAATTATTTCAAAACAGCGATAGCGACTCCTCTGGGCTAGAAACGGATACTGAAAATGATATGGTTATGTCTGATACTGATTCAATGAATTATGAGGATTTTATTTTGTTTCCTAATTTTCCTAAATGTATTATTATTTTATTTTGTTATTTTATTATATAATATTTTTTTTTATTAATTACACTTACAATAAATATTTTGAATTTGTACTTTTCATTTTCATTTGTCAACCATACTAACAATCAACATGTGACATCATAACGTCATCGGCAAAGTCTCTGCGCACGGTTAATACAAATTCTGATGTGGTTTAACACAGCAGAGACAATTCTCAATACCAAGTTTTGAGAGGATATGACTAACAAAGATAGTGTGTGTTTTTGGATTAATTGCTTTCATAGTGGAAACTTTAAATTGTAGAATAAACAAAGAGGAAGACAAAACATTTATGACAGAGTAATAATTAAATACAAACACCTTGAGCATTTAACATAGCACATGTAGCTTCAGCTTCACCTCTTCCTTTTACACACTGAACTCCCATACACTTCAAAAGAGATTCACACTGAAAATAAATACAAAATTATTATGAATAAATGTGGATATTTGAATACAGCGCTGATTACAGAATTTTTCCTTATTCCTTAAACAAATTTCTTATATAGGCCTTTCAAGGGTTATTCCGTTTATCCACCCTCAGAAATCCACTCTAGTGTGGAAACCCGAAAACGCGTGTTCGTTTATCCACCCTAGATGGGGTGGATAGTCGGAATTTACTTTTTGATTGTTGTTCCATCTTTCCACCCCAAATACAGTTCAACAGAAAATATATTCATACTTTAATATATTGTTGCGCGCCACTATTAATGTCTTGTAAATGGCAACACTAGTTACCACTAGCGCCCTCTAGTATCGAGTAGCAGAACTAGGAAAGTCAAGATCCTTCTAGTAATTTCGGGACCGATATGTACTCGAACATTCTAGATGTTTCTACAGTAGAAGGGTCTGGAAACTATCTGAGGCCCTATATAAGGCCGGTATGGACAACGACCGATATAACTGCGAACTAAAGGGATCAGTAGTAAAATTGTGTTTTATTATTGGTGTGGTTTAAGTTGTAATTAGTGCTCTGTAATAATGTGTCAATTTTGGTAATTCACTCGGCAGTTTTTAATTGTCTCGAAACCCAAGCTCGTAGCAATATTAATGATTCATCATCATCATTACAGCCCTTCACAAGTCCACTGCTGAACATAGGCCTCCCCCAAGGAATGCCACAAAGCACGGTCCCGAACCACCTGCATCCATCGACTTCCTGCATATCTTACCAGGTCGTCACTCCATCTAGTGGAGGGACACCCTACACTTCGTCCGCCGGTACGAGGCCGCCACTCGAAAACCTTTTTTCCCCATCGGATGTCGGTTCTTCGAGCTATATGGCCCGCCCATTGCCACTTCAGCTTACTAATCCGTTAGGCTATGTCGGTCACTCTGGTTCTACTGCGGATATCCTCACTTCCAAGTTTATCACGCAGAGAAACTCCGAGCATAGCCCTCTCCATAGCTCGCTGAGTGATCTTGAGTTTCCTCATCCGGCCAGCAGTGAAGGACCACGTCTCAGTTCCATAGGTTATCACTGGCAACACGCACTCTGGCATACTCGTCAACAACTTCAAGCTTAGTGCTCCCAACAACTACCGGCATAGGTGTGACATGGACATTAAACATGATCTTTGTTTTGTCCATGTTCATCTTAAGACCTATCCGTTGGGAAACACTATTGAGGTCATTGAGCATAGTGCTTAGGTCCTCCAGCGATTCTGCCATAAGGACTATATCGTCGGCAAATCGAAGGTGAATGATGTACTCGCCATTGATGTTAATACCGTATCCTTTCCAGTCTAGAAGCTTGAAAACGTCTTCCAATGCAGCGGTGAATAGTTTCGGGGATATAACGTCACCGTGTCTTACACCTCTCTGCAATTGGATAGGTTTCGTACTCTGGTTCTGTACTCGGATAGCCATCCTAGCCCTACTGTACAAGCACTTCAGAACTTCTATATACCGACAGTCAACTTGGCACCGCTGAAGGGACTGCAGCACCGCCCAAATTTCGACAGAATCAAAGGCTTTCTCATAGTCCACATACGCCAGACATAGTGGCAAATTGTACTCCTCGGACTTCTGTACAATTTGCCGAAGGGTATGTATGTGTTCTATGGTGCTAAAGCCTTTTCGGAAACCGGATTGTTCGGCAGGCTGGAAGTCGACAAGTCTGCGCGCGAGACGATTCGTAATGACTCTCGAAAACAGCATGTAAACGCGGCTCAGAAGGGAAATCGATCTGTAGTTCTCCGAGAGAGCGTTGTCACCTTTCTTGGAGAAATATAATGCCTCCGGTGTAATGCCACCATGGAGGACGGAATTAAAGAGCTTCTGAAGGACTTCAATTACCGGTTTTCCACCCGCTTTCAAAAGCTCCGCTGTAATTCCATCCTCGCCTGGGGCCTTGCCGTTTTTAAGGTGCTGTAGAGCCATTCTAATTTCGCTCAGACTGACGTCCGGGGTATCAACGGAATAGTGTCGGATAAGACTTGTTCTTTGATCGTTACTCACACTTGCGTGTGGCTCCAACGATGATGTGTACAGCTGCCCATAAAACCTCTCAATCTCACTCAAAATCTCAGGTGTCCCGGAAATGACGCTGCCACAATCGGTCTTCAGCTTCAACAGTTGGCTCTTTCTGGCAGACAGATCTCTAGCAAAGACTTTGGAGCTCTGGTTCCGCTCGATCGCTTCTTCAATACGAGCTGTATTAAAGTTGCGTAAGTCCCGCCGCATGCATTTGGAGATCTGTCTGTTCAGTTGCCTGTATGCTGTCAAATCTACTGACGACTGCAGCTTCATATCCCGTCTAACAGCCATGACATTAAGAGTGTGATCGGAGAGTTTTTGTGTTCTTCTGCAGCGGGTCTTGCAAAACTTAGCTCCGACCGCATGGACAGTTTGCACGAGCTTGTCGTTCATATCATCCACTGCATTGCAATCTTCTAGGCACTGAAAACGGTTTCGTAGCTCGAGCTGAAAGGTTTCGGAACTTTCAATTAGAGCACGAGGGGGACGGAGCGTAGACTTCATTAGACGTGACCTCTCCAACTTAACGTTTAGGTTCAGTGTGCCCCTCACCATTCGGTGATTGCTGCCAGTTTTCACCCTCGCGATCACTGAGACATCACTGAACAGTTGTCGTCTGATCGTCATAATGAAGTCAATCTTATTTTTTGTCGAACCGTCGGGGTTCGACCAGGTCCACTTCCTGTGGGGCTGCTTCTGGAAGAAAGAGTTCATTATTAAGAGTCCCTCTTTCTCCATGAAGCCAGCCAGCTGCTGGCCCCTTGGGTTCCGTTGCCCTATTCCGAATTTCCCTACTTTTAGCTCACCGTACATTAACACCGTATAGTGGATTTTGGAGAAATGCATGGCTCTAGATATATCCTCATACATATCCTCCACCTCCTCATCGGGGTGTGCCGAGGTTGGTGCGTAAACCTGTATGACCTTCAGCGAATACCGTTTGGTGATTCTGAGTATAAGGTACGCAACCCTCGTCGACACACTCCCAATCTTTACAACGTTATTAACGAGAGACTTGTGGACGATAAATCCGACACCTCCTTGGGACAGATGGTCGCCCTCCTGGTGATAGAACAAGTTGCCGGATTCGAGGATTACCGTGTCCTCCCTCTCTTCGGACATCAGATAATCCTATGATATTCCAGCGCAACTTGTCTATCTCTTCTTCCAGCTTCAGGATCTTCTTGTCAGTCGTCAGGGTGCGTGCATGTGCATGTGCATAAGTTGCCAGGTCGAGTCATCGTAGGTGGCAACCGAACCTCCACCGGAGATTCTTAGCACCCCTGCCCTGCCGTTACCATGGTCGCCACCATAGCCAGGAATAGCGGGGATGCCGGGGACTGGGGGCCGTCTCTTCGTTACTATCATGGGGGGTATATTGCCATAGTTGCCACGCTTGGCGGGCGGGTTGGCAACCGCAGTTTTTTTATTGTTGTGTTGCTGTTATCAGAAAGATGCTACTGCCCATCCTCTGCTTCAGTTTCCTTCTGTCGCCTCTTACGACACCCACGGGAAGATATGGGGTAGTGAGTATTCTTTCCTGCCAATACATGGGGCACATATTATTGATTAATTTTTAGTAACCACAAACTTAAACAAAAATCATATTACATATTGCATTTAAAAACCAAATTAAACTTCCTCATTTTAAATAATAATAAGTAATTTATTAATTCTGCATGCAATATGTCCAGGAAACGACTTACACTAATTTTATTATTGAGTAGACGTAATTGTACATCTTGTATAAATTCGTCTCTTGTAATGTACATTTGCAATAGTTTTCTAAATGTCTTTGTTACAACAGATGTGTTATAAAAAACTGGGCATTTGTTTGCAAGCAATCCAAATACTTTACTTTACTAAATTTGGATGTTTGTCTTTAATTTCATTTTATATTGTTTTATGCCAAGATTCTAATAAATTTCATCATATTATCATCATTATTCAATGACATAAATTGTGTTACATCAAATGATATGTAATTGAACAATTAAAAGTATTTCAGTTTTGACATTTAAACAAAATGTATGTATTTTTATAATTATACTAATGTCTACTAAGTAATCTTAGGCCAGTTTCTATCATGTTATTATAAACGATTGTACACAGCCAAGGGAGAAAATCAGAAGAAAACTAATATATGAATTCCGATGATTATATCCAGACGGGGTGGATAAACGAACACGTTTCCAGCTATCCACCCTAAGGTGGGTTTCTTAGGGTGAATAAACAGGATAACCCCCTTTCAAGAAAAATGCACTTACTAGCATACATAACATGAAACAATTTTATTCTCATCATGCCAGAAAGGCTGGCTAGCTAGTTCAGCAGCAATCCTCAGCAGCATAGCATAGGGTAGCACTAGTGATGCTGCTCAGAACTACCGATCTAGGATTGGAGTTCTGCATTTAAAATGGTATACTGCTATTTGTTTGCTGCATAAGAGCATATAATTATTTGTGCTGCTAAAAACTATCTGTTCCAATTTTTTTTCATGCTTACCTCCCTTAGCACATTTCTAAATCTGCTGCGTGCCACATCAGGTTTGTTTGATCTTATGCCAGTGTGTTGTGGAGCACCTCTAAACTGCACAGCATTTCGGGCAGCCATGACATCTCTTTTCAACTCGGGTGCATCACCTTCAAGCACAAATATTGGTTTTATATCAGCCAATAGAAGATATACCGTCCTAAAAAACAAGTTTCTGAAAGAAATAAGTTGGGTTGTTCCTTATAAGTTGTTAAAATGATATATGAATACCTTAAAATAATTTGTTATACCTAAGATACAACTTTGGTTGTATATGATATTCAGTAACATTTTGACTGTCACAAACCCATCCTGATAAATCTATGGCAACTGTTTCACCCTGAATCTATAAAAATAATAAAAGGTATCACAAACGTAACAAGAAATATAATACAGTTTCCAATGCCCGTAGGCTTTTATCATAACTCGTCGTTGTTGATCTTACTTCGTGTAAAGACATTTTTTCACAATAAGGAGCCATTACGGTCCATAAACCTTTTATACCCATTTTAGTAAATTGAAAAATATGTTCATTTAATAATAAATCTGAAATTTCTGTGAGCAAACATGCGCTACACTCAGGAAAATAACACAAACACCATGCCCTGGTAACTTAAAACATTTTTTATTTATTATGAAAAGCGCCATCTATCCCGCATACATGGAACTTTTTATTGCAGTGTTACCACTCTTTTTTACTTGGAACACTTGGTACTTTAAAATAACTGATAATTTTGCTATTTTTCTTTTATTGGTCCAAAAATAAATGATTTAACAACAGTATAATTTATTTTAAAAATATTTTATATTTTTTTGTATTACTACATAGTGATATTATAATTTATATAGTATTTATTACAGTTACGATCTTAGAATCTTTAGAGTAGTTTTATTGATACCAAATTTTAGCAACACTGAGTCGAACTAGAAGAAGTTTGCATACTCGTGCTCATTTTCTTGTAATTTTTGGTGTTTTTTGTGTTACTACGTTGAATCGAACTTCAGTTTCTTCGTATATTCCAGAAATACCGAAATTCCAGCATAGACTGTACTTTGTGAAAGTGTTTTGGACATACATGTTGATAGGCCCCCCGTAGGGAGTTTGGACCATATATCTCAGTGTAGTGTTATTTTACATTTTACACAATGCCTCGAAATATCTTCTGTGTTCCTGGGTGCCAAGTAGTAGCAGAAGATGGTGAGTAAAGTGTGTTTTTATATTCTGAAGTTTCATAACCTCAATAGTCTTTTAAACATATATGTGTATTCTACGCTGGCTTATATTCCACGTGCCTAATACACCATAAACTGGTTAATCTGTTTTTAACAATTAAAAAGCAGTAAAAAACAACATTTCTATTTATTCAGTAAGTCAAAAATTCTAAAACACCATTGGTTCCTATAAGGTTTTTTAACATTTAGAAATCATAAATTCTACATGTAGGTTCTTATTCTAGAATGACGCTCAAACACAGCTTTACTTGAGAATGATTTGAGTCTATCATTTCATATAAATACGTCACTAAGACGTGCTCAACTTGAGATCGCCGCTGAGTGTCGTTCTAGAATACGGGCCGTAGTCTGTCGGTTCAGTTAAGTCATAGTAAACCTTAGAGCAAGGACTAAAACATGATAAACTGGTAAACAATCTTGACATGTCTTTTTTCTCAATTTGCATTTAAAAGTTGAGTTTCTTGCAAGTTTTTCTCCATCAGAATCTACATTTACGAACATGCACCTAAAGTCTCGACTTTCAAAAGTGCCTATTGATATTGTCTAAATGAGTAAATAAGATTTGATTTAGATTGAAAAAATCTCTAACTACTAATACTAGTGAATCTAACGCCCGAAATTAATAATCAATCCTGATCCAATTTTAGCTATCTAAGATTGATATTTTAATCTATTTTGTGGGTTAAGCGTGCCAATAAACAATCTATGCATTGAGTTTGCTATCTTAAAAATCAATCTATCTTACAGAGGGCGGATCACAGAAAAACGATTGGCCTCTGTTCGAAAATGACAGTTTGCGCGTGTTAATAACCTATCTGTCGATTTTGACATTTCGTTTTGATCGCTGGAAACGATCGGGATTGCAATCCAAGAAATACCGGAGATTTCGTCACAGCGTTATTTTTATTAAAATAAGAAAATGGAAATATCGATATTTTACAGTGATAGTGATGACAGTGATTTGGAGGTGCTGGCTCAATTATCCGATTGGGATACTGATAGCGAATCTGAAGATAGACACCGCGCTTCTTCACGAAAAATTAGAAGGTTGAACTACATGCAGAGTCTGGATGATGCCGAGTTCATGTTTAGGTTTAGGTTATCCAAACCTGCTTTCAATTCGCTATTAATAAAATTGATGCCGTTTATTCGTGTAACCTCCACAAGGTAAATAATTTTCGAGATAATGTAAAACATTACATTAAAAAAAAATTTTTACTTTCAAAAGATAGTACTTAACCTTACTTTATTTAGTAATTAATGGTTTTAAAATTTCAGGAACAATGGGGTTTCGCCACTTCATCAACTTTTATTGACATTACGATTTTATGCGTTAGGCACGATGTTAATTTCTGTAGCGGACTTTGTTGGAGTATCAATATCCACAGCAGGGAGAATAGTTCGTGATATATCATCAGCAATTGCGAACTTATATGATGAATACGTTGTAATACACCAACAAAGTGCTGAAAAATTCTACCATATTGCAGGATTTCCTAGAGTTTTAGCTGCAATTGATTGCACTCATATACGAATCCAATCGCCATGTGAGTATTTCCTAATATTATACAGACTAAAATTGTATATTTTCTCTTCATAAATATCATATATAAATAGAACATACACTATTCTTCTATATTAGACATGTGTTAGGAAGGTTGGCTCAAAAGGGGAAGAACTGCACTCACAGAAACAGAATACCATTGTTAAATATGCTATGTATATAAAATGTGATAACAAGGCATTTTGTGTTAGTCCTCAGGCGTGACAATGCATCTACATTTTAATTTTAAATGGAGAGCAGATGTAGGTCTGTGGGCAACAGCATTTTCTTACCATCAGGTGAACTGCATACTTGTTTGACACTTATTCTATATAAAAAGATACATTAACTATGATTTCTTCTAGGTCATGTAATTGGTGAAGAGTTTAGGAATCGTAAAGGTTACTTTTCCTTAAATGTCCAGGCAATCTGTGATGCTGATTTAAAATTCATGAATGTGATTGCCCGTTGGCCAGGCTCGACACATGATGCCACAATATTTAACAACTCAATTCTCAGAGGTTTCTGACTGGTTTAATAGTTTTATTTGCTTTTGTTATATTTTAATGTTATCAAAATGTACTTAATTAAATATCTTTATTTACAGCCCAATGTGATGCAGGTCTGTTTGGTAACCGTTGGATGCTTGGTGACAGTGCTTACCCAAACAGGCCATATTTACTAACACCTCTTATAAATCCTGTTACTGAAGCTGAACAGCGCTATAATGAAGCACACATAAAGACTAGGAATATTATTGAAAGGTAGCTATTTTGTTTAGATCTTACAAATATTAGGTATTTTATTTTTGGCAGGAAACAGGAGGTTCTCAATTCTACTATAAATTGTCATATATATATATATATATATATATATATATATATATATATATATATATATATATATATTATCGGGTGTATTCATAATCATTTTTAAACAGTTCATTAGTTAAAAAGTGTTTTGTCTCATTCTGACATTTGCGAGATACTTGTTGCTAGAAAGTGACAAAACACTTTTTAACTAATGAACTGTTTAAAAATGATTATGAATACACCCGTATATCTTAATCAATTGAGAAATTACTTTAATGATGCTTTTTTATTTAATAGTTTATATTATGGATGAGGTGGTCCATATGAGGATAGTCTACTCGTAGTCATTGAGCTTTTAATGTTCTGTAACCCATTTAAAAAGGTCAATTCTAATATACATTTATCTTTTTCTCAGAACGTTTGGTGTCTGGAAGCGTCGCTTCCCTGTTGTGGCATAAACACTGCGTTTATCATTGCCTAAGGTTCAGGCAATAATAATTGCTACCGCAGTGTTGCATAATATTTGTAGGAACCACAACTTAGAGGAAGTTCCTTCAGAAGTGGAGCTGCCAATAGTGGAAATAAATGAAGATATGTACTTTTCGGAAGTTCAAGATGTCAGTGAAAGAGCAGCACTTGTAAATAATTTTTTTAGATAAATAAATACTTTTCAAATCAATGTTTGCTTTATTACATACAAATTTTAAACCTAAGTTAAACTTTATTTCCAAATTTGAGGTAAGGCTCTCAACAGTGAATCAATTATCAGTTTTAATCTTAAGAAAAAATAAAACAAAAAAAGAACAAGTACCTAAATCCAATTCCTGTCCTGTTTCATAATTAATATTTTTATTTGAAAAGATTAATAATAGAAAAGTAATTATTTTTATAATAACATTTTTATAATTACTTCATAAAAACACTACATTACTTCACAGAAAATAGAACTATGGGTTGACTAGTAGAGAATGCCTAATGGCATTAATTCTTTTGTAATAGGGAATGCAATAAATAAATATAAGAATATTTTACTTACTTTAATGATTATTGCATTAACACAAATATTCTAAAAACTGACACAAATCAATAAAAATATTGCTAAAAGCTGGTCAAAAATAACTTAGACCTTATAATTGTATGCATTTGCATTATTAAAGTATAGGTGTCAACAAATAATACTGTAATAAACATCTGCTATAAGTAACTCAGTTGAAGTATTAATGAAAATAGTCATTAGTAAGTTTGACTTACGCCGGTAGGTATTCGTTTTTAAAAAATGATTTTTTCATGATATGGTGACAAACGAGCACACGATCCACCTGATTGTAAGCAGTTACTGTGACCCAGACACCCATATCTATCCTCAATAAAGAATCAAAATGCAGATGCGTTGTCACCCGTGAGGACCAAGATGGAATGCCCCTTTTCAGTAAAAAGGGTCGCCAGTTCCCTACAGTCACCATACAAAACAGCAGTGTTAAGCTGGTATTCTGTGAGAGCGTGGTCCTTCCCTGGCCGAGCCGACCCATTCGTTCTACAACTATACTATTAATATAACTGCAGCATGGCTCTACCACATACAAATTACTATTATATTCACTGTATGCATATAAAATTATTTTCTACAAACTTTTTAAAAGGAGGAGGTACTCAATTCGACTGTATGTGTTACCCCAAAACTTTTTCTTAGTTGATGATTCGATTCGATGATTCTTTTTTTATTTGAAAGTTGGTGCTTCTCATGTGGTCCCATATGAATTTGATTAAGGTCGGACCAATAGTTTTAAGTTATTGAAAGTTTAGGAATTAAAAACAAGTACAAATTAAAGACAATAAAATCTGTCAAATTAGTTTATTCAAAATAATAGTATAAAAATAAACAATCATATGATGGTGATAAAATTTTTTATTTTAAGCAAT